AGCCCTGCCAAAGAATCTAGAAGGAGTAACAGAAGACCCCCCCCCCCCCTTTTTTTTTTTGCTTCCCTACAGGTTAAAGGGTATAGTTTTGGAGGTGATGGAAGAGTTCTGGAACGAGACAGTGGTGACGGTCTGTGTCTATACTTACTGCCACTGGCTTACCACGGTCATTTCTTTTTCTTTTTTTTAAAAAATTATTTTTAATTTTATTTATTCATTTTACTTATTTTATTTTTACCAGAGAGACACACAGAGAGAGAGACAAAGTGAGAAAGCAAGCCACCAGGTCAAGGACTTGAACCATGGTTAGCCATGTGGGAATGTCCAACGCCTTAACCACCACACCACCTGCTGGTCCCCCCTACCATGGTCACTTCAATGGTATGCATATTTCACCACACACACACAAAACTGTGCTTATCACAGCCCTGGCACTTATCAATCTGCTCCGGACTCGTTAGCTACAGGAATGCTGGTAACGGAAGTTCCTGCAGCGTGGTGGTGTGTGTGCTTTCACCCGGGAGCAGACCAGCCTGGGAGAGGAGCAAGCACCCTAGTTCTTGTAGGAGCGGGGCGGGGGTGGGCAGCTGACCCAGGAGAAGGCCAAGCAAAACTTCCAGGAAAATCTAACCCTCTCAGGCTGGGCAGGAAAGTGTTCCCAGGAAGGATCCAGGCGCTTCCTTAAGGAGGAACCAGAGGAGCTGGGAGGTCCCTAACCTCCGGGCCACACTTTCCCGCCCCTATGGGATCAGGGAACTTGGGTTTGGTTTGGCCCCGCCTGGGATAAGCCCCTGGCTGCAGGCCAGTCAGTAGGGCTACCCTCTGCGTTCTCCCTCCCTGCAGCCAGGCCCAGGCTCAGCCGCCAAGCCCCTGGCTGGGGGGACAGCCCCGCAGCTCCAGGGCCCTCCACACCTTGCCCACCTGCTGAGGGGGAACCCACAGCTCCGAGTCCTCACTCCTGGCCTTTCTGCTCTGCCCTCTCTCCCTACCTGCCCAGTCCAGAAAGCCCAGACCCTGGTGTCTGGTGTTCCCTCTGGGGTCATACTTCCAAGTACTTGGCTGGGCTCCCCACTAGACGCCCCTTCCCACGCTCCCGGGCCACAAAGCCTAAGCCCGTCTTTCCCAAACCCAGCAGTACCTCCGCGGGGCTGTGACTGGGGCCGGGCTCGTGGTCTTCTGGGGGGGAGTTCGGGGGAGACATGGTGGGCGCGTGCGGCAGGGCGAGGTCCTGCTGGGGCCCCCGGAGCATTGGAGGGCGCGGACTCCTGCTGCGTGGACCACCGTGCAGTTTCGATTCCCGGGTTGGATCCTGGGAGGTGGGAGGAGAAACCGGGGAGGCGTGAGCCCACTGGCTGTGGCGCCCGAGCCGTCCGAAAGGGTCCGCCTCCCGGGAGGAAGTGAGACAGGACCGGGGGCGGTTCCAGGGGCGGGGAAGCGGCTGCGGGTTTGCAGAAAGCGGGACCCGGGCCGAGGCTAGAGCTGGGACGGCCCTCCAGCCCACGGCAGAGGGGCAGAGGCAGAGCTGACCGGTGGGTCGCAGTGGCCACCCCTGCTGCTACCCATTCATTCAGCACACTCGGCCCTCTCCAGCTGGAAGCCGACATGCGTTCCACGCCGCCCTCGCGTTCACGCGAGCACCCCCTAACCGAGTCGTTCCGGGGCGCTGGGAGCGGCTGGGAAGGCGACCTCTGAGCAGAGGCTGAAAGAGTTCCGGGAATGCCCTGGGATGCGGCAGGGAAGGAGATGCTTTAAACAGAGCCGCATGTATGAAAGGTGCAGGGACTCGCGGAGACTGTGGCGGTTTGTGGTCTGGGCCACCTTCAGATTTAAGGGGACTCTTGAGACATGGAGGCTCGGGAGTGGGCTGGGGAAAGGTCGCAGGGGAGGCTGGACCCGTCCCTGAGTGCTGGAGAGCTGGGGAGGGCTTGGACCCAGGGAACAGCATGATCAGCGGTGGTGTTGGGACAGTCGCTCTGACAACCCCGGTCAGAGGGAAGTTAGAGACAGTGGGGGACATGACTAAGATGGGGAACATGACCAGGCCTTAAAGCTGGGGTGGTCAGTCAGAGAGGCAGGGGGAACTGGCCGAGTGAAAAGTGACCTGTTGCAGGCTGTGAAAGAATTCAGACTATGCAGCCCGCAGGTAGTGCAGTGGTTAAAGGTGCTGGACTCCCACATGGCCGACTACAGTTCAAGTCCCGAACATGGTGGCTTGCTTTCATGCTCTCTCTGCGTCCCCCCTCTGGTCAAATTAAAAGTAAATAAATAAATAAAGTCCAATAAAAATAATTCTTAAAAAAAAAAAAAGAAAGAAAGAATTCAGACTCAAGAGTACGTGGAAAGAGAAGGCTTCATACTTTCCAAAGGGAGGCAAGGGGCCAGATGCAGCCCTGGAGGGTGGGGGCCGGGGACTTTTAAGGGACTTAGGGTTGGGTGATTAAAGCAGTCCTGAGACAGCAGCCAGGTGGTCTTTTACGGCATCTGGGTTGTTCAGTTGTCTCTGGTTGAGACGCGCCCCCATCTGCAATAAATCAAGCAGCCCACCTTCCGTCCCTCCTTTCAAGTGGAAATCTTCCTCTGAGCCCAAGGAGTTCCTCACTAGCCTGTGTCCCCTTTCATGTCCCCTTCCACCGGACATGCCAGCCAGACCCAGTTTGACCCTTTAGGCTTCTCTCCTGCCCAAGACATTGCCTTCTCTCGGCAGAGCGCAAGATGAGAGACACCCATGCGAGGCAGTATCCCCAACAAGGAAATGCCCAAGCCATCTGTGAACTTTGAAGGTGCCCTTCTCATCAAAAATGTCTCAGATATTTGGGGCTGGGGCTAATAGGTCCTTTCAAAAAGGGCGAGGTAAGAGCATGTGAGGTCCTGGTGGGTGGACAGGCATGCAGACCGGGCTGGCGAGGAACAGGGCCATAGCACCACAGTGCCAGGCTGCTGGCCGGGCCTGTGCCTGGCTTCAGACCGTTGCACCCTGTGCCAGCCTATGTGCCAGTCGTGCTCTGCTCCCAGTTGGGAACAGACTAGAACGATAGTGACAAGGTGCTGGCCGCTCTTGTATAGTCTAGATGTGTCGGGTGGGGGGTCAGGAGTTGGGGGGAGACCCAACTTCTGGGGGCTGTGAGAGGCCCCAGGGCCCTGCCTATCCCCCCACCTGATCAGTACTCCCAGGCCTTTAGTACCAGACCACCAGACAGGAAAAGCCAAATCGGGTGGGCAGCCCCCTGTGGAAGCAGGTAGTGGGGGGGGGGGGGCACCCGAGGGCAGGGACGGCTTTATTAGTTTCTCCGCTCACTTTGGAAGACAGCTTGCCCCAACATCTTGTCGGGAGTTAACACTGCCCCGAATAGATTTGCTGTCACCTGGGTATTCCGAGGGTCTCACCCAGGATGCCCCCCCCCCCTCCCCTGCCGAGCTCCCTAAGGTCTGCGCTTGAAATCTTCCTCTGTGCAGTGGTTCAGTCCTCCCTCTGGTCGTAATCGCAGTGACCTGGTGACACCACCATCCCAAGATGAGCAGACCTGCTCTGCCCGGCGGCTCCCTGGGCTGGGTAGCAAAGGCGAGTGGGTAGCTAACCAGGCCCAGAAAAGGCCTTAGGTCTAATAGACACGCCCCTCTCCAGTCTGGGGAGGGAGGCAGTGCCGGGAGGGCCGAGCAGGCGCTTCTGGGATTCTGGGGAAGATCGGCTCCTGAACACCCTCTTAGGAAGCCCACCTTGCCCGCCACCTTTCCTAAACTCAGACAAGAGCAGGGGCAAGGATTGCGGACCACGGCCCCCGATCGCCGGCCGCAGTTCGGTCCTCCCCGCGCAGGGGGAGCTGCGGGGCGGGCAGGGGCTGATCTGGGCGGGTACCGCCTGGAGGCGCGGGGCGCGCCCCCTGCTAGGAGTCATGCTCGGCAGGTCCGGGTACCGGGCACTGCCCCTGGGGGATTTTGACCGCTTCCAGCAGTCGAGCTTCGGCTTCCTGGGCTCGCAGAAGGGCTGCTTGTCCCCAGAGCCGGGCGGCGTGGGGCCGGGGGCCGGTGAGTGGCAGGCCGGCACCGCGCACCTGGGAGCGACGGGCCAGCGCCCCCGGGCCGAGCTCTCTGCCTGCGCACCGAAGGGGAGGGACCGAGAAGAGGACGCGGTGTGGAGAGGGGCTGGACTGGGCGCGGGTGCTAGCGCCGATGGCCCTCCGCGTAGCACCCGCCCATCTGCCAGACCTCGCCCCCCGCCGTCATCCGCCACCGGTTAGGCCTGGGCCAAGGTCTGAAGTTCCCGTTTTGCATAGAAACAAAACGGTCTAGGCAGAGGCGGTATCAGCCCCTTAAAGGCACCTGCTGCCAAGAAATGGAGACTCCTTGCCTGAGGGGCACCCCTGGAAGAACAGGGAACAGGCACCTCCCCGTTTGGTGGTGAAGATCAGAGGCCACAAAAGCAGACCCTGGGCTTCCTGTGGAGCCCGTTTTCGCCCTGACTAGCTCCAGAGCCTTCCTTGGCCCCCTGTCCTCAGGCGGGATCCCACACTCATCCTTAGGGACAGCTACCCGGGACCGCTAGGTAGCCCCCTGGGGGCTGGGGGGGTGTCACACCTGGTTGGGAAGTGGAGCCTTAGTACCTGGGGGCTTGAGAACCTGGAGGGTTTGGGCTCCCTGGAAAAATGAAGCAGAAATTCCATCTGCTTCCTGCCTGGGGTTGGGAGAAGGAATGCTGAAAAGTCTTATCCGGCATTTCTAGGACTGTCTCAGCTCCAGTCCTGCCTTGGACTCCTGCTTCTCCAGGGCCAGGATCTTTGGCTCCATTGACCCTGACCTCCCTTTCCAACACACACACCAAATTGCTTGAATTTAAGACTGCATTTGTGTGTGTGGTATTTAGGGCATTACAATGGGTGACGAGTAGAGAAGTACATCTTCGCCTCGTCCAGGGATCCCACTGCTGAGGCTTCGATGCTCCATCTCTGGGCGGAGTTAGCATTATCTTGATAAAGACTGTGCAAGGGCTCGTGGTGGTGGTGGTGGGGGGGTCCCGGCATGAGCTTGCAGGGGTCTGGGGCTCCTGGCGCTATGCCAGTCCGGGCGGGCATATGCATTAGACAGGGACTGACCCCTGCTCAGTCCAGCAAAGGGGAGCGTCACATGGATGAGGCTCTCAGATTCAGTGGTTGCTCCCTGGCAGAGAACAAGACTGTGCGAGGGGTGTTGGCCTAGGGACAGGTTATGTGGGTGTATGGGAGGGGACAGTCCCTAACTAGCACCTGCCCGAAGATGGGCTGTGCGGCAAGGAGCCCCTGAGGGTAAGGTGGGCAAAGGATGGGACCAGCTTCACTGGCTGCAGCTGCTCTGCCCAGTCCAGTGACCGCGCTTGACAGCCTCTCTGCTCGTTGTCCCCAGACGTCCCGCAGAGCTGGCCCTCCTGCCTCTGCCACAGCCTCATCAGTTTTCTGGGGTTTGTGCTGCTGCTGCTAACCTTCCCTGTTTCCGGCTGGTTTGCCCTGAAGGTAAGGTGAGCTGGGTCAGCCCGGGGTGGTCGGGCCCCACCGAGAGCTTGGGCATTGACGAAGGAGCTCCCCGCCCTCTGCCCCTGTGTTCTCACATCTCTGCGAGGCGGCTCTGCAGGGGTTGCTCATTCCCGTCTTACAGGTGAGGAAACGGAGGCTCAGTCTTGTCGAAAGTCACAGTGGGGGCCAGTGAGGGGTAGTAACAAGTCTCCCCAACTCCCACGGCCTGTCCAGATCACCAGCTTGAAGGTGCACATGGACATGTTTGCACATCTTCCTTCCTCCCCCGGGTTAGGCAGGATCAGAGCTGAAAACCCCAGCTTGGCTCAGCAGGTGCCGCAGGGATTCGGACCTGGTTTTCAGCCAGCGGTGGAGCGACGGGAAAGGCTGAGTAATGGAGCAGCCCCAGAGCACACACCTGCGGGCTGTGGGGAAGGTGGACGCCCAGGCAGGCCCTGCCTTTTGTGGCCCTGCCTTTCGTGGCCCTGGGCAACAGTCGCTTCTCTAGAAAGTGCCTGGGTTTTTGTGCTCTAGAAGGGAATCCTTAGATGGGTCTAGACCCTAGTTCCAAAACTGCTGCATGACCTTGGGCATGACCCTTTGCCTCTCTGGGCCTTCATTCCTCACTTTGGATTTAATTGCTTCTTCAAGATCTCCAGGGACCTGAAGTTGGCAGGCTTTTTGCTGTTAGAGCAGCCCAGCCTTTCCCTAAGTAGCCCGGGGCAGACCGGTTCCCGCTGCTAGTCATGGCCAGCTTCAGACCACAGGGGTGACGGGTTTCCCGGGGCCCATGTCGGTACACAGCGGCGGCCCTTGGAGGCATTGGGAACTGTGTGGATGTCGCCTGTCTCACTCAGGGACTGCGTGAGTGAGTCACTTAAGGTTTTGAACTTCAGTTCTGGAAACAGAGCTAAGGATCCTTGGCCCTGATGTGACCAAGAAGAGAAGGGACAAGGACCTGGGCACATGTCACTGGCCAACCTCAGCTCACCACCTTCTTTCCTCTGCCCTTCCGGACAGATCGTGCCCACCTACGAGCGGATGATCGTGTTCCGGCTGGGCCGGATCCGCACGCCCCAGGGGCCTGGCATGGTTCTGCTCCTGCCCTTCATCGACTCCTTCCAGAGGGTGGATCTGAGGACACGGGCCTTCAACGTCCCTCCCTGCAAGGTGAGCGCGGGGCCGTGCCGAGCGTACGGTGGGCGCCAGGACCTTGGGCTGGGGGACTGGGAGCACATCCTTACACCGCACCCCAACTGCTCCGGGGGACCCCGTGCTGCCTGTGGCACTAGCTGCCAGGCGGGCGGGTGGGCCTGGGTGGTCCCGGTGGCCTGACCCCTGTAGCCCCGGGCCCTTGAGCACCTCCCTTCTCACGGCCCCCTCAACAGCTGGCCTCTAAGGACGGGGCTGTGCTGTCCGTGGGGGCCGACGTCCAGTTCCGCATCTGGGACCCGGTGCTGTCGGTGATGACCGTGAAGGACCTGAACACAGCCACGCGCATGACGGCCCAGAACGCCATGACCAAGGCCCTGCTCAAGAGGCCGCTGCGGGAGATCCAGATGGAGAAGCTCAGGATCGGAGACCAGCTCCTGGTAGGCAGCTCCGGCGGGGCGGGCTCCGGTGCCAGAGCTGCCGGCCTGGCCGCCTCCTCCCGAGAGTGACCCGCGTGGGAGGAGCCGGCGTCTGGGGAGCTGCGAGACGGGGGCACCGAGCAGGGAGCCGTG